GCAGAGTGTAGATGTCACAGCTCTGATTAGAAAGATTTTAGAGCTACGATTAGGCTGTGAAAATGGTGACCTTTTCCGTGTTTCCCAGTAACGACGTTTGCTTTACTCTTCCCACCAGATAATTGAGACAAGATGGCTCAGTGGGTAAAGGCAATTGCTGCCAAGTCTGATGCCCTGGCTTTGATCCATAGAAGGAAAGAACTGACTCTTGCAAGTCGCCCTTGGACCACACATATCATGGCATAAGTGCCCCTATACATATATGTGCATATAAATAGAATAAAAATTATAAGGTATAGCTCCATCAATTGTAAATAAAATACTTGAAGGAATAAATTCACTTATTAACTAACTTCAACACTTTATTTCTTTATATTATTTTTCCTCAAGTTGCATGTTTGCTTTAAAAAAAAATCCTCTTAATTTCTGATTAACAGTAAGAAGCAAGAACGTGGCCCAGCAGGGATAGGCACTTGTCCCTGAACGTGATAACCTGAGCCTCTTGGACATATGTAATGAAAATGTCAAAACTTATCTGCTCCAAGTCATCCTCTGACTTCCACGTGTTTCCCATGACTTGTGTGTCACACAAGAACACACAATAAACAAGAAACTGTGAAGAAAGAATACACATTATTAGGACACAACATGTCTATAAAAGAAGCCTCTAATTTTGAAGTTACTGGAATCATATCCCTAAACATTGTGATTGGTAGGTTATCAAAGATACCTCTAGAGAGAGCTATCCAGTTTTCCCTAGACTGTTTGCCACAGAAATGAACCTTAATAGAGACTACTGTGGCAACAGACATGCATATGGCCAGTCTTCCATGAGAAGATGCTCCCACTACTGAAACCAAGACAGATTTTTTTTCTCACTATCTGAAAAATGTACCTAAAAAATAAACAAATGTGATATTTGAACCCAGTGTTTAATTAAGTAGGAAGGCATAAACATCAACTTTCCTGCTTAACTAGGAATGGTTGAACAGGTTTTCTCTATTTTAATTAAGTAATTTTTTATTTATATAATTTATTTATATCCTAATTGTAGCCCCCTCCCTCAGCTCCTCCCAGTCCCACCCTCCTTCCCTCTTTCCCTATTCCCCCTTCCCTACTCAAAAAAGGGAAGACACCTACCACCACCAACCCACTCCAGCACATCAAGTCACATCAGGATTCAGCTCGTCCTCTTCCCCTGTGGTCTGGCGAGGCAGTCCTGCCAGAGGAAAGTGATGGAACAGCAGGCAACAGAGGAGTCCAAGTCAGACACAGCTTCCTTACTAAGGGACCCACATGAGGACTAAACTGCTCATCAACATCTGTGCAGGGGGCCTTTGTCCAGTCCATGCACGGTCATTGGTTGGTGTATCGGTCTCCGTTGATGAGTTGATTCTGTTGTTCTTCTTGTGGAGTTCTTATCTCCTCCAGGTCCTATTATTCCTCTCCCTCCCAATACACACACACACACACACACACACACACACACACACACACACACACACTTTTCCACAAGACCCCCTGTGTGCTCCGCTTAATGTTTGGCTGTGAGTCTCAGCATGGTTTTCTCTATTTTAAATTCATATGTTCTCTGTGAAAAAAAGATGATAGAGGTAATCAAATCCACAACAGATCAGTCTTAGTGGTGTTTAATTTCTGTTTAGCTTCTATTTAGCTTTAAATTGTAACTTAAATTTCCAACCTGACATCATACTCAGTTAGAGCAGACATCATACTCAGAGCATTTTACATAACATCAATGGCTACTCAGTAGAAGGGCCCCTTTGGACCTTGGACTAGTTTCAATAGTAGATGAAGAGATAAGTTAATGAAATAGTTTCTTTGTATCCCACCACTCAGTGTGTTAAACTGTGCACTATGTCACCTTGTAAAAGAAAACATACAAATCCATAGATAGAGCTTTGTCTTGCAATAAGACCCACTGAGATGGTCTGAAGGCTGTGACTTACCTGAAATAACAGTAGTCCATGGGGGTCAGGTTGTTTCTAATGCCTAATACTTTACGTCTGTTAATACCTTAGAACAACTCTGCTCTTCAAGAATGATGACTCTACGTAACTATTCTGGTGCTCATGTCATCCTATAGATAAAACAAATAAAACCATTTTTATGGGCTTCTAGATAGTTACTAAAAACATATTCCACACAATTACTGAAACTTTCCGTTTATTGATAATGACTGCAGGATCTTAGTAGTAACTCTTTATATACTAAAGAATGAGATTGCACACATGTGGATACACACACAATCACACAGATTCAAACAGTATGACAAATTCAAGGATCCAATGTCTGGATTTTACTTGTTATAAGACTCCCTAAAACAAAACAAAACAAAACATTATCATCAACAACAAAACAAATTCCTTTAAAGAAAATGCTTCTTTTCCTCGTAGTCTTCTCGTACATAATGTGGCAGATAAAAGCTTTTCAATATATAGAGGTTTTAATTTCAGGGTATCAGGCTTTAGTTCAGGGGTAGAGTGCTTGATTACTACATGCAAAGCAGTGATACCGCTTCAAGAATTTCTACCTAAATATAACATGAATTCCTTTTTACTTTGTATGATCAAATATAGATGTAGACTTAAAAAAATTCTCAAAAGAATTAGAAAAATAATTAACAATACACACAAAAGATATCGCAACCTCAATAATTTGTTATATAGATAAATTTAATTAGAATATATTTACTGAGTAAACCAATAAATTATTTCTCCATGCTATATCATTTAAGATTTACAAATATGCTATTTTTCTTAGAGCACATTAGTATATAATATACTCATTAAGCTATTTGTATGTGAGAAAACAAGTAATATTTTGTTTTTTATTTTCTACAGAATATGTTAAAATCTATTTAACAAATACATTTCTGATTGTGATACAAAGTATGCATGCCCACAAATGAAAAATAGCCTGAAAAAAGAAATTGCTTAAGCATGCAACTCTAAAATCCATAACTTAAATAATAAAAAATTCAAGGTAGTGATACTGAGAAAAAAATTCAGAATGTGATATTAGTAAAGTATAAATTATTACGATAGTGAAAATACTGAAATTTCAGTAGAAAAATTAGAGGAGCTGACCTACAACACAACTTTTGCACCCAAGACTCAGGGGATATCAGAAAAGATGGGGTGGAAAGATTGTAAAAGTGTCAGGGCAGCTTCACCAACTACACCTCTTAGCAATATAGCCGACTAAACAAGACCCGGAGAAGCACATCAGTAGACAGTGCTAGCATGGCAGGGGGTAATATCAAGAGACGCTCTAAAAAGAGAACTGCAGGCAACTAAGGGATGCTGAAGCAGGAGAAAGGGTCCTCCCAGAAGTGAGCCCTTGATTAGTTATCCGACACCAACTGTTCAGATTGAAATAATACACGATTAGCATTAAATGGATTGAGCAGATTGTGTTTATAATTACACACACACACACACACACACTCTGAGAGGGATCAAGGTAGGAGGTGGACATAGGAAGGACTGGAGGGAGGAAAGAAAGGAAAAACAATGTAATTATATTTTACTTTTTTTGGATAGAGAAGGAATACCATTTAAAATATTCACCTGAGGGATGGTCAGGTGGCTCAGTGGAAGTGTGTTTACCATGCAAGCATGAGGTCTAGAGTTCAGAACACAAGTAAAAAGTCAGGGCAGGCATAGTTGCTGTCTGTAATCCCAGCAAATTCCAGGGGCAAATTCCAGGGCTGCTTGAGGCGAGCTGTGCTAGTTAGACGAAGTGATGAATGAGCTCTGATTCGTGTGAGAGAACCTTCAGCGATGAATAAAGCGGGAGGGGTTTCAGAAG